GTCAAAACGTATTTAATCCCACCCTTCTCCGAAGCTTATTAACAAAAAAATAGTAAATTCTCCTTTTTTCTTATTCTAATTAACAATTTCATAAAGATTAAAACAATCTGTTTACCTAGATTTTGATATAATACCAGAATATATTCATGAATGTAAATGTAGTTATCAATAAATTAATTTGGTTTTTATTTTTAAAAAATTCATATGGGGAATAATGCACTAGTAAAATAAACGTACTAAACCAGACAAAAAAAATATTACCATGGCATTTAAGGGTTAAAAATAACAGTAAATTATTTTTGCATTAACAGCATGGGGTTTATGACGGGGTCCCTGGAATTCTTTCACCCTTGTAAGGGGTCCGTATACACAAAAACTTTGAGAACCGCTGGTTTACAACATGTCAACATTAACGATGATCAAAAACATTTAAAGACCTCAGTTAGTGCTTCTAACTTTAGCTTATAAATTTAGCAAGTGCTAATCCACTAAAAAAATTATATTAGCAAAACCCCTAAAGCACTAATCAGGAAATTAGTTCCCCTATTAGTGCTTTAGTGGAACTGTGCCCACCACTGAAGAAATGTGAAAACTATGATATAAAAAATGCGTTGTTCAAAATGGTGTGTCAGAATAAACAGGAATCCACTGGATTCTTCTTAAAACTTTATTCTCAATCTTCTGACTCCAGTCAGGTTCACAGRACAGKACTCAGCAGGCCTCAGGAAGACCTTGGTCTGAATCAAAACAAAAAACACAGCAGCTCTGCTCTGAGCAGAGACTCTGCTGCACACATTTCATGTTTCATGACTCAGAGGGGTCCTGACCCCAGCTTTGGGAACCACCGTGTCCAAACCTTTGCWCATGACTGCAGGAGATAAAGTCTCACTTCTTTTTAAATTCAGTTTAAAATWAAATATCTAAAGTATGCTGAGGCCATTGGTGACTTCAAATGGTTCAGGATCCACAAACGCTCAGCTGAGGTTCCTGCTTATGTGAAAGTTTAATTTGCAGGCGTTCTGAGGTGGAGCCTGATCACACATGTAGATGTACGATTAACACCAATTTATTCATCTGAAGTTCTATAAAAGAGGAAGTATGAAGGGGCTGTGAATGTTTTTCTGATGATAGCGACTTGATAACGCATGCCTGCATGTAAGAAGCGAGCATTTAGAGGGTGAGACTGTGAAACCAATGTTTCCTTCCTTGTTCTGTCTCACTTTGGTGCTTTTCTTAGAACAGAGCTGAAAACACTGGAGCTTTAAACTGGAGGATCCAGTGTTCCTGAGGGAAGACAAGGCAGGTCCAGAGCATCCTGGTAAAAAAACCTTTTTAACATTTTCTCTGCTCCTCATATATGCTAAAAAATAAAATCGATACAAAACAAACAGACAAGTCTGAGGACGTCTGTTTGTGTCCWTCCATTGGTGACAGCTGGTCAGACTGCAGCCAAGTTGTGTCGTGAAAGAAAAACTATAAACTGCTTTCAATCATTTGCTTTCAGTTCCTCAAATACAACTAAAAAAAGAATAAAGTGACACGACCGATTTAACTTCACTCACAAAGTGTTAACACAGGCTGAGGCAGTGGGACTGTTGGGTGAAAACTTATGATAATTATTTTTATAACTTCTGAGCCGGACCAACAACTAACATAGTTTTGAGCAGACATTTTTGCCACTTTTCCCCGCACACTAACACAGTTTGCTTTATTTCCACCTGGGAAATCCCAACATATAAATACGGTCTGAGGTTTCCTCTTTTAAATGACGTCAAGAAATTCTCATCAGAGTTACAATTTTCACCCCAGTTAACACGACTGTTTCAACCATCTGTGACCAGAATGATGCAGGGATCAAAATGTTGTTTCAAAAGTCAGAAATCTGAAAAAGTGCTTTATTCATTTTGACCAAATCTGACTTAATCTTGATGTGATTGGTCACATCGTCCAGTCTACAAATCTCTATCAGTTATCCTCACATTATCTATTAGTAACATGACAATAAGTCATACTAATTAAAAAGTGTGAGTTTTAAACTTTTATAGAAAATGTTTGCACAACTCATAACACTTTGGTGTACTGTAAAGAAATAAGTTTGTGGTTCAGAAGAAGTGTTAGGGTTAGGTTAGGTTAGTTCTGTTAGGTTTATAGCTAGGTTAGATTAATTCTGTTAGGTTGGATTAGTTAGGTTAGATTAATTCTGTTAGGTTAGATTAGTTAGGTTATGGGTTAATTCTGTTAGGTTAGCGTTAGGATTAGTTAGGTTAGCATTAGTTAGGTTAGGTTAATTCTGTTAGGTTAGCATTAAGATTAGTTACGTTAGGGTTAATTGTTAGGTTAGGATTGGTTAGGTTAAGATTAGTTAGGTTAGAGTAATTCTGTTAGGTTAGATTAATTAGGTTATGGGTTAATTATGTTAGGTTAGCATTAGGATTAGTTGGGTTATGGTTTAAATCTGTTAGGTTAGCATTAGTATTAGTTAGGTTATGGGTTAATTCTGGTTAGGTTAGCATTAGGATTAGTTAGGTTAGGTTAATTCTGTTAGGTTAGCATTAAGATTAGTTAGGCTAGGGTTAATTGTTATGTTAGGATTAGTTAGGTTAGGTTGTTTAGGTTAGCATTAAGATTAGTTAGTTTAGAGTAATTCTGTTAGGTTAGTTAGGTTATGGGTTAATTCTGGTTAGGTTAGGATTAGTTAGGTTATGGGTAAATCCTGTTAGGTTAGCATTAGGTTTAGTTGGGTTAGAGTAATTCTGTTAGGTTAGCATTAGGATTAGCTGGGTTATGGTTTAAATCTTTTACGTTAGCATTAAGATTAGTTAGGTTAGAGTAATTCTGTTAGGTTAGATTAGTTAGGTTAGGGTAAATTCTGTTAGGTTAGCATTAGGATTAGTTAGGTTAGTATAGGTTAAGTGTTTATTCTAAATGACACCCCCACCTCATCTGTCAACTGGGCAGTTGAGGTTAGGTTAAGGTCCCACTGTGGGCAGCCACAGTAAAACACCAGGATGGGGGTCCTGGTATGATTTCCTGAAAATCAAAAATAATTTCTAACATTTTCATTACAATCCTTGCATTAGATGAGTCATAAATGAGAGGAAAAGTGGTTTAATTCATTATTAWACCCTTATTTTTATTTAGCAATGTTTGTTTACTTCAAACATTCAGGGTTAGAAGGTTAAAAGCTGTGACTCAGCGCCACACTGTGGTGCTGCAGGAACATCTGTCAACAACCAGACTCTTACTTTAAATAGCTAAATTATATGTATTCTGTACAATTTTGCTTAGTTTAATCAGCAGTGGTTTATCTTATGTACATATTTAAGTTTTGGGAAATAAGTAAATTCTTGTTACACAAGTTGTAAATCTATTTCTTCTCAGCTTCCTGTTTTGTTTAAACATGTTCAGTGCGAGTTGAGTCTTGTGACGTTTGAGGCGTCAGAACATTTCTTATTTATGATGATCTGTCTGCACATGAAATGAAGGTGAATCATCTATTATTCAAACTTTCATGGATGCTTCTGATATTTAAAGGTCCCAGAAAAAAAAAAAAGGAAAATTTGAATCAGGGTTGGACTGATGAGCAGCTGGAACTGAAACAAGCCAGAGATTTGAACCATTATGCATTTGTTTTTATTATAAAACGTTACAATAAATAAAAAGAAAATGATGCAAAAATATAATTTTTTTGAGGGAAGGGGTGTACAATAGAAATGATAATTTTAATGAAATGATCAGATTGGTCCCTGGTTTGGTGGATTGAAACATTTTTATCACATAGCACCATGATCTCCACAGATCTGCTGACTGCAGAAATCAAACATTTCACACAAACTCAGGAGAAACTTGGTGTTCAGTGGAGTCAGCTGTGGGCCGCTGCTTTACGGTTCATCAAATATAATATATTAATTTACACATTATACATGAGAATACACAACTCAGGTGAGTAAACATGMTTTTTTTTTTTAAAAGGCAGCTGATCGTTTTAAATCTGAACACAAACCTGTCGCAAAGTTCAAAATAAGTTTTTTAGCTGCACAGCTGAAACAYAAATGGTGGGAGGAGAAAAGAAAAAGCTTTGAGCTTCACTGATTAATCGAAGAAACGCAAACAGTCACTCCAAATTTTCTCAAGGCATTTAAAGTGATCTTTACAATCTTTAGGACCAAGCAACTGTCAGTATCGATGCTTGTATAGAGTCTGAATATGTGCAAACATCAGAACAGGAAATCAAAACCTGGAAAAAAAAAAAAAAAAACTCTACAGGATTTGCATTTTTTTTTTTTTTTGCAGCAGAAACATTAAAATTCAAACCTTTACTTATTCTGCCTAGACGAGAACTTGACTGAGGACYTGTTGGAGGTGTGGACTAGCGCACCAGGAGGAAGGTGAGTCCGGCGATACCGACTCCAGCAGCGGCAACCAGCGCCGTTTTCATGGACGAGTCCTGACTCACCTTGCTAGCGTTGCGGGCYTACTGGCAGAATCCTTCCTGCAGGGGGCGACACAAAACACTTTACTGAAGTTAAACAAAAAAGCTATCAAGCTGCTAATTTCCAGCTACTCATTCCTAAAAATAAGGAAATTTAAATCATTTCAACACAAATGGACAAAACAAAAAACAAGTCCAGAGAGTTTGATCCCTCAAACAACTGTGTGGTTTTACAGAAAGTGCACCTGCCCTCAGCTCCAGGTGTTCCTCTGCTCTCCAGCTGCGTGTTTTTCTGGTCATACAACACTAAGCTTTAACGCAGAGGACGCCAAATCCAACACAGCTTTGACTGTTACTACAAAGTCCATCTGGCTGTGGCGGTTGTGTGTCTGTTGAAACCAGCTGCCAGCTAAAGAAAGGAGGGGTGTGTGTGTGTGTGTTTATGTGGGTGTTGGGCAAGCCCATTCATAWAAAGGAGACATCCAATCTTGTTGTATTCAGTTTGATGACTTCAATAGAGAGATTTAGGACTGAAACGTTGCAAAAAGCAGTTCTTTTACATTTTTATTGAACTTTGAATGTTTACGTAAAAAAAATGCTCAAAAAAATGACATCAGAAAGACTCGATGTTTTTAAACAGGTCCTGAAAACAAACCCGAGCAGAATATWAAAACAGAAAAAAATAAAAAATAAAACCTCAGATCAATACATACCCATCCATTATTCTCCAACAACCAGTCTTTCTTGTGCTCCTCCAGGTAATCAGCGATGGTCTCAGCCAGCGCTCGACAACTCACAGGTTCTAGCAGCTGCTGCCCAGGGTCCAGCCCCGGCTTTGAGCCCTGCTGCTCCTGCAGCAAACTGACCAGCACCCCCGTGAAGGTGAAGAGGGAAACCACCCTCCCCCAGTTAAAGTGTCCATCTCCCACCACCTCGTCCATCACCTTCCTGAGGCTGGAGCACAGGTCCGGCCCGCAATGCCTCAGGAAGTTCTGGGCCAGGGAGTGGAAACGGGCCTGGTGCTGCGTCTCCATGACTTGGCCCAGGCGCCTCATGGCGGCGGCGGCGGACTCGCTGGGAGGCGGAGGGGCTGGGCATGGGCTCGGGCAGTGTAGGGACAGGTAGTCCTCCGCTACGGCCAGGGTCTCTTTCCACAGCCCACAGGACATTTTCTGAAGACAGAAGACATGCGTCATGATGCAGGCATTGCACTGATACTATTTATTATAATAAACAAAACAAAACAAAACAAAAACGTTGGTTTAATGAATGAAAAGTTAGGCTTAATGAGTAGTCACAATCCTAAAAAGGTATCAAAACTGGAAACTCCAATTAACTGCTTCATTATTTTTTCTCACCTTAAAATTTTGAGGTTAATCTTAATTAATAAAGAAACAAACATGGTTATAAAGGGTCAAATAATACGTTATATTCAGTCATTCACYTGTAAGAGATCCGGTAAAGTGGCCTTTGTCTCAACCACCACTTGGCTTTTGTTGTGCTACAGCATCACAACATAAAATCTACCTCCTCTTTTCTTTTAATTATTATTATTTTAAAGAAAGTGGGGAAGCGAAAGAAGAGCCCCCGACGAGGTGCGTCACTTTGCGACGTGTCAGTCACTGGAAGCAGCAGCAGCGTCAAATAGAGCCGGAGTTAGCTCTCTGTGAGCTSTTCATGCTAAACACGACACACAGCTTTACTGTATGTTCATTAAAAACACAACCAGGCTGCGGTATACAGGGCAAGGTCAACTTAGTCAACTGTCTTTTTTATTATTATTATTATTTTGACGCGTTAAAAACGGGGAACATGAACGCCGCACCGCTGCATTCATCGTCTTCCTCCGCTGTCATGAGAGCAATGGAGGACACAAAGGACCGTTCTCTGAGAGGAACTAACTGAAGCGCTGAGGCCGGGTCTACACGGACTATCACACAACCACCTTTGGTCGAAAAGCGCTCTTTTTACACAAGAAGCCGCAAATAAGTGTTTCTAAAAATGTATTTATCTTGGGGGTTAAAATAGCAAAAATCCTTACCCTCCCTGCGATGTGACAGGTCTCTGCGCACCCAGACGGCGGAAGGAGAACCTCGGTGCGTACTGTTCAACCACTTCCCCCTCAGCTGCGCACAGATCTACTCCGCCCACAGATCCATATATGGAAGAGGAACTTCCGTTTTCCGGGAGATGCTATAAAAATTCCCCCTCAGAGAAAAAAAAAAAACAAAACAAAACAGGCCACTACTACATTATGTTAGTGATTTTCACTAAATTATTTGACCATCTGTTAACACGACCAGCATTACTAGGATTAACTCTTCTGTTTGAAATTCTTAATCTCCATACCATCAAAATATAGGTTTTTAATCATTATAAGATGACTTCAGACAAGCAGTTTAGCAGAGAGACAAAATACATTTTCAGTTAAGATTTTATTATATTATCAATAATACTTTAGAAACCTGTTACAATTACATGCACATTGTTATAGAATAAGTTTAAATTAAATCCAAKAACAAAACAGTAACCTGACATAAAGCAGGTATCAGGTCAGAAACACAAAGAGGAAATGAAAATCAAATGTAAGGCAGAGAGCAAACTTCCAGTCGTATTTTTGGGTACTTTCACTACAGGTGATTTCCTGCCYTCAATCTCATTCTTTAATTTGCTTTTTTGCACCTTGTTTCTTGTTTTACCTTGGTGTTTTTTCTTGACATGTTCCTTTTTTAAAAAAAAAAACTTTGATTTGACAACTGTTTAAACACAAACGGCCTCTTTTGTTGAGGTGCATTGTGCTTCGCATTAAATGACAATGTGAATGAAGACATCTGATGACATAAGAATGATAATAATGGACACAAACTCAACAGGTGTGTTAAATCAGATTATTCTCCAGGGKACAGACCGAGACATTCACCTCACTGACAGGTGAAACTGAGGTCTCTGAAGTTATTTGAGTTTCAGTAACACCCACAGAACCACAATGGTGTTTTTTGCAAGATGTGTTTATTTCCACTTGTTACCTCAAATACAGTAAATGACAGACTCTGTAAAATAGCTCACTCTGACACYTGACCTAAACTCCAAGTCTGCACTCCTTTAAGCTCTTATCTTACAGTCAGATAAAAATAATACTCACTGCATCGCTACAGTGACCGTATGACGTCGATAAACAAACGGACAGCCAAATAAAAAGCCTAAAAGTCAAATGATAGCTAGTTTCTAAAGACAGGACATTTGAGCTGTAGCTTATAGTTTGTGAGGTGAGTTCTGACCAAAATGTTGCTCTAACGCTGCCTGAACGTCTCTGAGTATGTTAATATTTTAAAAAGGTTATGGAGCTGAAGGGAAAAACTGCGTGTACAGGGCACAGAACACCAAAAAATATTCAAAATATTTCATGTTCTGTCTGTCTGATCAGTAGAGTTAAAACTTGTGTGTGGTGAGCTACAGATGTCTTCCTRTAGGCCATGATTGACAGCTGAGCATCAGTGCAGTGATAACAAACAACACAAAAAGTAAGGGAATTTGTGTTTGGCGTTTCTTTGTTGTAACAACACTGAATACAAATCTTACATGGCTGGAAAGTCTGTTCATTTCTTTTAAATGGTGCCACATTTGTAAGGAACATGCATTTGTGGGTTGTGCACATGAAAAATTTATCAAATCGTCTCTGTTAAACAGCTTATTCTGCTGTTATTGACTCTTGTTTTGAGCTTCTGTTACGCAGCAAAAACAGGAGTGTTAAAYTTTCAGTGTTAAACTTTTGGGTGTTGATTTAACACCCCCTAGTGTTATTTTAACACTTTCTGAGTAAACTGACTCCCATTGTTGGTGTTAATTCACAGTGTTGATTTTCTCAGTGTTGCCTCAACACTGGACAGTGTTAAATAAGCTCCGCCCACAGTTAAGTCTTATATAACACTTAACAGTGTTGTTATATAACACCATGCAGTGTTGAAAGAAGCATTCTGAAAAGTCCCGCCCTCTTCCACCTCATGTCAGTCAGACCAGTATTTACCCAGCATTCCTTGCTGAGAAATCTTGCAGAAATGATGTTTTTGCATGTTTATGACCATTAAAGACGTTCATGAGAYTAAAAATTAGCTGTTCTGGTTTGTTTTCTTGTTCAGTTTGATCAAGTTGTTCAACTTTAAGTTTGTGTTTTTGGCCAAAAATCGACACCATGAGTGAGAGGTATGTCCTGGTGTGTGAAGAAGGGTGACTCCATACTTTTCTACTAAGAGTTTGATATRAACTCTGAGTGTTAAATTTGCACTCTCAATTTGATGGTGTATTAACACCTTGTGGTGTCTGTAAACCTTTATAACACCACAATTTCCTTTGTTAATAATAATACTATGCTAGTGATACTTTTAACACTTAATTTTAACACTATCAAAATGTTAATATGACACCCAGTATTGTTGAATATTTAACACTGGATGGTGTTAAATTTACAAAAAAATGAGTGTTAAAATTTAACACTTTCACAAATGTTATTTAAACACCAGCCAGTGTGGACACATATAGACACTTTGTTGGTGTTAAATTAGCACAGGCATTTTTGCTGTGTACCCCCAGGTGCTGCCAATCATAAGATTTAATTACTTTTTATTCTTACAGTGAAAGTGTAGCATTAACAGAATACAGTTCGCCCACCGAACAAAAGCTAACAAAAAACCCCCCAAAAAAACAAACAAAAAAAACGATAGTGTCTTTATCTGTAAGCCGTTCATTAAGATGCATATTTTGTCTCATTACAAGTATTTAATACTTACTAAATAAATAATGTCACTTACATGATTACACAAAACCAAAGAAACTAACAGACAAAGGTAGGGATTCAGTTTTGTTCAACTCTTTGGTAAAATCAACAGCTAAAGAATGAGCTGAGTTTAGCTTCTGTGTCCGACTGCAGTTTTTCATCCACAAACTGCAGCYGATCAGGCAGGAAGTGACGGTCGACACACGTTTAGGCCCAGATCTGTAAAGAAAAATAAGTAATTAATCACGCAAAATCATATAAAAAGTTGTATATCCTAACAGGCGTAATAAAACTGCTGTCTGTAAATAGTTTTTGTGTTAGTTTTTATTATTTGTCTAATAAAAATATTTTATATTTGCTTAGTTCATTTGTTTCCCAACCATGATTTTCTGGATAAAAGCACAAAAAAAGTTCCCCTCTTCACCGGGATATTACAAAACATTTCCTGTAAGAACAGCCAAGTTCCTCCTCCTCCTCCTCCTCCTCCTCTCACCCGTAAGGTGTTGTCCCAGGAGGCCGAGCAGAGCGCGGTGCCGTCTGGTGAAACCCGGAGCCTGCTGATGCGGTTCTCGTGACCAAACAGGACCGAAACACGGTTTCCCTTCAAGACGTCCCACACGTTGATGGTGTAGTCATTATACCCGGCAAAAAGCAGCCGACCTGGTTGTTGAGTGCAGACGTGATTAAATAAATACATTCAAAAAGAAAAAGGAAGTGGGGAATTTCAGAGTAAAGAGAAGCAGCGGCAGATCAAACTTCTGATGAAACTGTGAATTAAATACTGCAGTAAGAAAAGCACAATCATCATTTAAGACACTGTCACACACTTCAACGTTTTAGTCTTATCCGACATTTAAGATGTCTACACTGAAGATGGATTTGATCAAAGGTGGCATTTGAACATTCTAGTGTGACAGGGTCTTTACTGAATAAATAAACTAAATAAATAAATGTTTTTACCGCTCAGAGAGAAGTCCACACTGGAGGCTCCAAATATGATGCTGTCCTTCTGATAGACGGCTACTTCGCGGTCGGCTCGCAGGTCGTAGAAACGGCACTGAGGAGAGCCAACAGACACAAACATTCGTTCACTGCACCCGTAAACTGCAGCTCATCGTTTCATCAAAGCTAGCTTTAAAGGGATCCATGATTAGCTGTAACATTAGACTTTATTTGATAAACATTTATTTTAACTGTAAAATAAAGACTGTAAAAATACTGTAGGCTG